GAGACCGGCCGGAGAAGAGAAACCATATGAATGGTCTCTCCCATGATGAGTCCAGTGACGACCATGGTTGGAGAAATGTTGGAGACACACCGTACCCTAGCTAGCTTGGGACCAGAAGAGAAGATTCCTTGCGGTTCGATCGGGTGCATAGTGCTTGTGTCGTGTGATCGGTTAGTATAGTAGAAGTAATTCTGGCTGATTGTTTTTTTTTTTTTGGTACCTTGCCGATTGCTGTGTAGTGCACTAGTGCTCGTGTCGTGTGATCCGTTATTAGTTACACAAGTAGTTTCTTTATCCCGTAATATAAAAGCGTTTTCGACACGGCGGAGGGAGTAGTTCTGTAATTGTTGTGTGGATTAATAAGTAACTATGGGGCCAGGGCTGGGCTGTGTTGGTCAAGGACGGCGCCGGCCACTAGTTATTACGGGCAGGAAGCCAGGATCTAGCTATAGCTACAGCTAGCCGGTCAAAGTGTACAGATCAGTCCGGTGTGCCATCCATCCTCCTTTCTTATACAGTACTACTACTCCTATAGAATGACAAAAAAACAACAACCGTATCCATTCTGTTGTCTAGATAATGGTATTTACAAAAACAGTGCATGCACCATTTGCAGCTGCAGCTAGACTGCACTCTCGGTGCAAAATAAAAGCACACCTGCCGACGAGCAGCCCTCCCTCTCCCTGGACTCGACATATCATATCAAAACACCTTTCCTTTTCAAGGATAATCAAGAAACCCACCCGGGTCCAGGATCCCGGTACAAAAGGAAGAAAAGGTAAACAAATATTACTCCGGTCGACCATGCTCACGGTCTCACGCCACAGCCCGATCGCGACCGGTCCGTAGATTAATGCCGGTAAATGCACGTCCCGATCACCAGCAAGACAGCCGAGGGTAGGGGACAGGCAGTCTCCTCTCTCCAGTAAATCTTCCCCGAAATCCAGGACGGTCAAAAGAGACCAAGGCTGAAGACAGGCGACCAGAATAACAGCCTGCCTAGCCCCCATTTTTCAAACAAAGATTAATCAGATATACGGCATCGAACCCTGCTGTCGACGCACACACTCGACTTGATCACCCGTCCGCTACTACGCACCACCACGTAGCTTTCGGATCTTATCTTGGATGCAGAACGCGGCACCCGTCCACCTCACACAGTTGTCCCTCCGAAGAAGAAGAAGAAGAAGAAGAAGAAGAAGAAGGGCCAGTCTCTCGATCGGATGTCAGCAAACCAAACCAAACCAAACAAGACGCCTCATCTTAATAAAGAACAACGGAGCAAACAAAAGCTTAGCTGCCCGCCGGTACGCACGCGCGTACGTGGCGCCCCCACGCAGGGCGACGCGGTTTCGCAGCCAGCCTAGCTCGCACAAGAAGAAGAAGAAAATGAAATCTCTGCATGATGCCATCGCTTTTACTACTACTACTACACTACTACTAGGGAAGGATCGTCAAAGGGAGCAGCAAGGGGGAAATGGACAGCGGCAATTGATTTGGTTGGGTTTAATCTTGGGGCGACGACAGGACAGCCTGCCTCGAGGCGAGCAGCTGGAGTGCATTAGCAGCGGGGGACACTGAGCATGGGCCGGAAGCTTCCTTGCTTGCTTGCTGATGATCATAATTACTTAGAGGGTGTTTGGATCACTAGAGACTAGAGACTAGAGACTAGTAGTAGTCACCTTTAGTCAGTAAACCTCCAAACGCCCCTGACTAGTGGGTGACTAAAACTAGTTTAGGGCATGCTTGGATCCAAGGGACTATTTTTAGTCTGACTAAAACTAGTCTCTTTTAGAGGCTAAAGTTTCAATCACCCTTGACTAAAGAGAGGCTAGAACTAGTCTTGAGACTAAAATTTTTTAGTCAGGGGAACCCTACTAAAATATGGATTAGTCATCTCTCTCCTCATTTAACTCCCCTCCTTTAACACATGCGAGTTCTGGATTGGAGGGTTTGGAGGATAATAAATGCTCATTAACTCGATTTTAGTCTATTTAGTATTTGTATCCAAGCATGGGTAAGGCTAGCAAGTTTTAGTCCCACTAGTTTTAGTCATGTGACTAAGACGTATCCAATCACCCTCTAAGTCCCTAGTCACCCCACCCCCAACTTTTACTGACTAGAGACTAGTAGTAGTCACCTTTAGTCAGTAAACCTCCAAACACCCCTGACTTTTACTGACTAAAGTCCCCCCCTCTCTCCTCTAATTGGTGTTGCACAAGGGACATTTAATACCAAGACATTTAATACCGAGACATTTAATGCTGACTAGTAGTAGTCACCTTCCAAACAGGGCCTGACTAAAAACTTCTAGTCTGACTACTACTAGTCACATGACTAGAGAGTATCCAAACACCCTCTTATTGTTATTATTCGCTTTTGGGTGATGGATCTTGTGTTATTTTCTAACTCGTGCATGTGTGGGTGTGGAGGGGGGACATGGTAACCTGCCTGGCTTATCCTGCCTGCAAGCTTCAGTGATATTACGATGCTAAATGCTCTTTTTTTACATGTCGTGGTAATTGGCAAGCTGATCTCTAGGCAGCTAAACTTTTCTGTATGTCAAAGGAACTTTCTGCTCAAGAAAAACACGTACGCGGTACCCTCAACGATCTTCGAAAAAGGTTTAGTTTCTTCAGGGCACCCGCCTAATCCAGAATCCGGGGAATGTTAGACTAGGATAAACCATCGGTCGACAACAGCGTTCAACCCAAAACAAGAAACTTTGAGGATTATGCATATGCTTTACGAATAGAGATGTTGCTGCAAAGGTATGAGATACGAACAGCTATATTGTGGATAGCTCCAAGAAAATGAAATAAAGTAGCTGACCCTTTTGATACGACGAAAATATCTATAGCCTATCCAAATAGCAATTCAGTAAGTACCTTTTCTTACATATAAAGATCGATTCAGCTTTACAACTGTCACAAAAAAGAGGAGGAGGACAACCGCTGTATCCATGGAATTACCACACTGGAAATTTAACTCATGTCTAATCCCCCCTTGACTATCCTCACTGGTTGGTGGCTATCTTCTCACGAATTCATTTCCGAGTTGAAAAAAATAGCACAGATCGAACACTTAGGAGACCTCAGTGTAGCACCAAAAGATTCCGGTAAAAAGGGGCCTCGTTCTAAGTAAGTAAAAAAATTTGGTGCATTACCTGCATCTTTGTTCGAGCACTGGAGCCACTATATATCTATGTCGCACTTCCTCGCGGGAAGTTGTTACTAGTGCTTAACAGCCGATGGACAGGTGCAGGCATATATTCTGTAACCTCAAAGGAAGATAGTGAAAGTAAGATCTGCATCCGTTGCTCTAACTGAATCACCAAAATACATAATTAAATCTCTAGCACTAGTGCACCATCTACACAATGTATTTTGTGAAAAGATGTTATAGATTATCAAACCACGATGGTTTACAGGCGAACACAACGTACAGTCAACACAAGTGCAAAAGAATACCTGGACCCATATGCGTTTATTTCTTGAACACATTCGCTGCTCCCAAATACCGAATGGTCTCAAATGCTAGTGATTACTGCAGATCAATATTCACACGGTGAAGGATCGCTAGTTCTAGTCGAAGATTCGTCAACGGCAAAGATCACTTCACTCCATACATCTTCTGAATTTCTGATGACAATAAAATCGTTGTTGGTTTTCATCTGCAAGTTGGTGCTGAGAATCGGCCGATTTTCTGCATAAGACAAAGAAGCCCCACAATGCCATCATGTGCGTGCCATATACGGAGTAGCCAGCAACCGCAGACGGTAGATTAGGTGCACAATAACGTTGGCCTTTCAGTAGCTTTCATCGCCGATCCCTTTCCTTTATATCACAATCAAAGTGTGGTGCTGAGGAGTGCATTTCTCAGTCAACATCAGTCGGTCTCACCACCAGTGCTTCAGAATCGGTAGACATCGCATGACAGTCTGTTATGCATGACGCGTGGATGCTCCGTTAGCATCACAGGAGGATTAGGAAAAACATTGCAGAAAAATAAAGAGGATGCGTCGATATCACTTACGTAGCGTCTCGTCACAGTGATATATCTTTTTCGCGGCAGAAAACGCGTCTTCGCACAATATATTCTCTTCTCTACATCAAAGATTAATGTTCCAGACAGGGAGCACACATACTGAATATGGACGACCTGGTCTGCCTCCAGTCCCTGTTAGCAGACGTTTTGCTCTTCATTTTAATGGATCGTTGATGTTTCTTCTGGCAACCGCCTGAAATATTTGGTTCACTCTCTTGCCTACCCGGCGCCGAGTTCTTCGCTGAGGGAAACGTAGGAGAGTACGCCAGATTTATGCAGCGGGAAAATGTGTATTTTCAGCAGTACTTTACAACACACTCACAATACAAGATGTTTACACATGATGCCCTAGCAGAAGGCTACACTTTGTGACTTGTTAGCAGTGGAACTCCCAGACTGCATGAGATATGCAGTACTCCATCCGTCCCATACTATAAGACGTTTTTACAAGCTAAAACAGCTTGCAAAAACATCTTACATTGTGGGACGGAGGGAGTAGATAAGTAAAGTATCTACATATCCTCACATACATATGTGTTCGGCAAAACCTTGCATATGTGATGGCTGATATGCTACCAACAGATTCCAAATTTAGTACCTCCAGACTGCAAAAATGGCTGGCAGCCTATTCCTGTGACTACTACAGAGCGAATATGGTGTTGCTACGCTACGCTGACGCTCTGTTCAGTTCTACCTTTGTAAAGAAATATAAGAACATTTTGATCACTACCTTAGTGATTTAAATGCTCTTATATTTCTTTACAGAGGGAGTACATTGTAAAGGCAAAAGCAAAATAAGATTGTATTCGGCCTAACAACTGTACTATTTTATTTGCATCCGTAACTCGGTAATCCCGTGAGCAAACATATCTGAGACAGGACATGTCCTTAGCACATTGGCAGAATAACGAGACCCGTATCGTTTTTGCCTGATTTTCATCATGATTATCATCCTAGTACCAGTCAAAAACATCCAGATCCAGGTCATCATCAGCATTCCCAGAAACATGCTCCCCTTCTCTGGCCTCAGATTGGCGTGTGCCCAGCTCTTTATCTGACCAATTTGAACCATTCTCTTCCTCCTCGATGAAATCCTGCAAAACATGCTTACAGAAGAATAGAGAAAGAATGCCAATGAAATAGATTCAGTATTAAACACTGTGTGTGTTAGTTTCAGAAAGGAAAAAAGAAACCTCATTTCCAGTGTCTCCTTCAATTGATCCAACCTCTTGTTTCTGTGCACTGTTCATGCCCCTCTGCAGATCTTCGATGTTGAGCTGTTTGATTACTTGTTTCAAATACAAAGTATCTGTGTAAAGTTGTAAAAACAGAAGCATCAAGTTAAGAAAAATCACAAATCAGACATTGGCAGGACCACTTGTAAAGCAATTGCTAACCTCTTGAGCGATGAAGTATAGCATCGTGGACTTGCATTGGATGTTTTTTCTCCTCAGTTTTAAACTTTTGCCGCACCTGATCACGGGACTTATCAGGGAATAGTTGCTGTATCATTGCAAAATTGCTACCAAATTGTTGAAGACCCTGGACAAGAACAGATAAAAGGTTGAAGTTTCCCATAGGCAAGCCAAAATGTCAGCACGCAAAAGATATATTCAACATGAAAAAAGTTGCCCGAGTAGTTGATATCTAAATACCTGGTAAAACAAGTCAGTGTCAGATTTCGACCATTTGGCCCGTGTTTGTTTGTTCATGTAGGAATAGTAATTCAGTTTGGTTGCGTTTTCTAGCACGTGGTTCTCTATTCTGTCATTGTCATAGTTCTCTCCAAAAGGATCAAAAGTGTCGGTACCTCCAAATTGGGAGCTGATGTGAAAAGATATCAACAAAGAACAGGACATGTGAAAAATCAGTAGAAAATGTGATTGAAGCAGTATATCAGCCCATTAAATATAAGAATACAAATTTATATGCTAGAACAAACAACTGCAGCAGCAATGCCAAGTTCAAATGACCTATTTGAATCAGTAAAGCATCTCCATGATAAAAATAGCTTGCAAATCAGTCTGCATTGTCAATGACTGGCTATTTTGCAAATCAGTCAGCTACCCTGACGCTCTGTTCAGTACATTGTAAAGGCAAAAGCAAAATAAGCTTGTATTCGGCCTAACAACTGTACTATTATATTTGCATCCATAACTCGGTAACCCCGTGAGCAAACATATCTGAGACAGGACACATGTCCTTAGTACATCGGCAGAATAACGAGACCTCGTAACGTTTTTGCCTGATTTTCATCATGATTATCGTCCTAGTACCAATCAAAAACATCCAGATCCAGGTCATCATCAGCATTCCCAGAAACATGCTCCCCCTCTCTGACCTCAGATTGGCGCGTGCCCAGCTCTTTATCTGACCAATTTGAACCATTCTCTACCTCCTCGATGAAATCCTGCAACACATGCTTAAAACAGAAGAAGAGAGAAAGAATGTCAATGAAATAGATTCAGTATTAAACACTGCGTGTGTTAGTTTCATCAAGGAAAAAAGAAACCTCATTTCCAGTGTCTCCTTCAATTGATGCAACCTCTTGTTTATGTGTACTGCTCATGCCCCTCTGCAGATCTTCGATGTTGAGCTGTTTGATTACTTGTTTTAAATACAAAGTATCTGTGTAAAGTTGGAAAAACAGAAGCATCAAGTTAAGAAAAATCACAAATCAGACATATTGGCAGGACCACTTGTAAAGCAATTGCTAACCTCTTGAGCGATGAAGTATAGCATCGTGGACTTGCATTGGATGTTTTTTCTCCTCAGTTTTAAACTTCTGCCGCACCTGATCACGGGACTTATCTGGGAATAGTTGCTGTATCATTGCAAAATCACTACCAAATTGTTGAAGACCCTGGACAAGAACAGATAAAAAGGTTGAAGTTTCCAATAGGCAAGCCAAAACATCAACAAGAAAAAGGTATATCCAACATGAAAGTAGTTGCCTGAGTAGTTGATATCTACTCCCTCCGTTCCCAAATATTTGTCTTTCTAACATTTCAAATGGACTACAACATACGGATGTATGTAGACATATTTTAGAGTGTAGATTCACTCACTTTGCTTCGTATTTAGTCACTTGTTGAAATCTCTAGAAAGACAAATATTTAGGAATGGAGGGAGTAAATACCTGGTAAAATAAGTCAGTGTCAGATTTCGACCATTTGGCCCGTGTTTGTTTGTTCATGTAGGAATGGTAATTCAGTTTGGTTGCATTTTCTAGCACGTGGTTCTCTCTTCTGTCATTGTCATAGTTCTCTTCATAGTTCTCTTCAAAAGGATCAAAACTGTTGGTATCTCCAAACTGGGAGTTGCTGTGAAAAGACATCGACAAAGAACATGACATAGGAAATGTCAGTACAAACTGTGATTGAAGGAGTATACCAGCCCATCAATATAAGAAGACAAATTTAGATGCTAGAATAAACAGCTGCCGCAGCAATGCCTAGTTCAAATAATCTATTTGAAACAGGGAAGTATCTCCATGATGAAATAAAGAGCTTGCAAGTCAGTCTGTAGCATTATTGTCAATGACTGGTTATTTTTACAACACTTTAGGTAAAAATATCTGGATAGAAAATAAGAAATGGCAGTTAAACACGAGATAGAGCTAATATCCATGCATGAATATTTGAAGTGAAAAAAGAGAGCACACCTTTGATTAGAGGATGATGGTCCTGACAGAATTGTTTTACTCTAGGAAAAGTCAAAACAAAATCATGAAACAGTAGCACAATAATGTTTCAAAAACAGAACCACCAGCTGCGTCTCAACCCAGCTCACCTTAATACGCTCTCTGGCCTCTTGTAACAATCTGAGATGCATCACACTTAGCTTCATGTGTGCTATCTCATGATCAGGTTTTTCCAGTAAAGTTTTGACTTCTGAAACTACAAAGGCCAAAAATACAAAAGATAATAAGAGCTCATATCATGTACAATCGATGCTTGGATATCTGGGCGCCGTTGTTATTTTAGCCAGATACCTTTTGTTCTTTTTTGACGAATTCTGTGAGTAAGCTTCTTGTCAGTCCGTTCTGTCAATTTATCTTTCATGGCTCTCTTACGACCAGGTGATGATACTTCACTTTTATTTTTCTTCTGCTTCTTCTCAGGCAGTTCTGATCTGTTGGAAATCCTTCGAAACATGCGAGAGTGATTAGAGAAATTTGCCAAACTAACCCATACCAAAAAGGCCATGCCGGAGGAGAAGCAAGCAATAATGTAGTGGTGGCTGCTCGTGGGGCACCACATGCAAGCTCCTGGTTTTTCACTGGGGCAAATATTGAGCTATCTACTTTAGACACAATTAGTTTTCTAACTATTCGTATCTGGCAATTGAGGACAGTGCCCTACTTAATATTTGAGCTGAACAATACACCACTATGCCCTTCAATATTAAGAAAAGTACCTTCAGAAACAATATTTTCCCTTCAATATTTGGCCTTCGTAAATTTAAAACCAACCATAGATTTAGCACAACAATGTGTGGGGCCAATTCTAGTTATATTGAGGTCAAATTCCAGATTTATATTTGTCACAAACTACTTACTAACACAAAAGGTCAATACTATCTTCTATGAGAGCCTCCATGAGAGAGCAGCCCATGCTCCTCCTCACTGCTACTCCAGCTACCGTGTGGAAATAACATCAAAGTACTATCCTTGCAACAATAGCACCACCAGCCGGTTCCGACTAGCCGCTTTCTTTTCCATTTATTTGTGGCTCATGGGTGCTCTAATCCCTTTCTATGTAACTAAACATTATTTACTTCTCCTCTGAAATGCATTGGCAGTACAACTGCCTGCCCCCTCAAAGAAAAACAAACCAAGTGATCCATCCTTCCAAGTCCTCAGATACTATTTGAAATCTAGTATAGAACAACCAAAGCATTCGATAGTTCTCGGGTTCTACTATAAAAGAAAAGGATGGAAATTCTGATTATTAACCCATCCAAAAGAAGAACATGTGGCACCCAAAATTAGAAATGCAGACAGCGTGCTCTTCACTGCACCTATCTTCACGCCATCCTATTATGAACCTAAATTTGCGTGCATACAGAGAGAAAGTAAATCTAACCAGGGAACATAATCCATCCACCACATCGACTAAATTAGCATGCTGCCGAAGCCCAGCATCGGAGCCACTTCCACACTATTCCTAGTTCCATTTCATCCATGTGTATACGAGTCAGGAAAACGCGAGCAGAAACTTACCAGATCGAATATCAGGAAACATAAGTAGATTGCAACCAAATCTGCACCCGTGACGCAAGGACGGCGGCGGCCAGTGAGTGGCGCTAAAGCATGCCGGGAAACCAGCAGATGGGAGAGGGAAGCAGTTGAGGGAGCGACGTGGGGGCGGGGCCGCTCGACCGAGGAGTAACCTAGGCGGGTGAGGAGAGATGAACGCGACGCGGGAGGGGAGGTGGGGCGCCGCAGGGGCGGTCGTACCGGCGGCGCGCGGAGGGGGAGCCGCGGCGGCGAGCGGAAGAGGAAGTTTTTTTTTTTTAGCAGAAAGTCGTGGCTAGGGCGTCGTCTGGAGCAGCGACGCTTCTGGCCCGTCGCAAAAAGTAGCTCCATAAGGCCTCTGGCCCATCATCATGGTCATCTGCAGTGGGCCATTAACCGGTCACTTGCGGCCGCGGCCCGTGCCGCCGTGCGCCTCATCCGCGCCCCCTCCTCCTCGTCGTCGTCAGTCAGCGACGGACCGAGCCGCCGAGCACCCACCCCAGCGAGCCTGCCCACCCGAACGATAACCGGCATGGCGGCGGCGCTATCCGCGCTGCTCCCGCGCGCCGCGGCGGTCCGCATGGTGGCGCCGCGCGCCCGCCCTGCCGCCGCCGCCGCGTCCCGCCTCCTCTGCGCCGCGGCGGCGGGGGAGGCGTCGAGCTCGCCCGCAGCGCCGCGGAGGCTGGTGCTCTACACCAAGCCCGGGTGCTGCCTCTGCGACGGCCTCAAGGAGAAGCTCCACGCCGCCGTCCTGCTCGCCGGCACCCCCTACTCCCTCGCCTCCCTCGAGCTCCAGGCAAGCAAAGCCAGAACCACTTCGTAATCTCTTTCTCGTGCGGAGATGGATGGATGCTTACTTTGGGGATGCTGGACTGATTCGATCAGGAGAGGGACATCACGACGAACCCGGAGTGGGAGCGGCTGTACCAGTACGAGATCCCGGTGCTGGCCAAGGTGCTCCCCGACGGCACCGAGGTACCCATTGATCCGCTCGCGACTTACCCTTTCTGCCATGTTTTCAGCTACGCAATGCAAGCTTGCACAGAGCCAAATTATGATACCAGTATCCAACATGTGGCTATATCAATGTCTCAATTCGATGAACGAAAGCAGACAGAGGTTATGCTTCGCTGGTTCACTGTAGTTGGTATAATCGCCACAAATAATAAAATCATAGCTTCGTTGTTCGATGAAGAACTATTAATCATATCAGGATATGTTTGGCCAGCACAAACTTGATAGAGGCTTACCACGCATTTGTGCCTCGACGTGCACGCGCTTATAATAAGATCACTCCAGACAAATCAGCAATTTTTTTTAAAGATAATCCGATGGTGAAGACAAGGAATTCTCTCCTACTTTCCAGCTCGCCTAAAGACCATTCCTTATTGGTATCTGATAGATATTTCAATCATTGTGAATTTGTGATGATGCATTATTTGTGAGAGTTACCCCCTTGGTGTTTTATTATTCTACAGGCTTCATTGTTTGGAATAACATGAACTGACGTAAATGTGACTACTCATATTACAGGAAATACTTCCGAGGCTGTCTCCCCGGCTAACTGTGGAGCTCATACAAAAGAAAGTATCCAGCGTGTTTGATCAGTAAGGATATAATTGTACTTCAAAACTTCAATCGTCAGCTTTGCATTTAGAGCTGCAGCTGTAAGAGTGGCAATAGGTGATATGACGATTGGTGTTATTTTCCTTTGTTGTAAGTTGTAAACCATGATTTTCAATTGCTTAACTTATTTTTTATACATTTAGTTTGGTTTACGCATGTCTTCTCAATATCGAATTCATACAGAGAAACATCCAAAACACGAGAAAGATCTAAAATGTTATTTTCTCTGTGTGTGTGTCGGGGGGCGGGTATACATGTTTAGCTGATAGTCAGCCATGCCACAAGAAAATACAGTTGCAAAACTTACAATTGTTGGTTTTCTCTTGTTAACAAGTGAAAAACTTTATGCAAGGAGCATTTACAGAACATCCGACTCATAAGCAAGATTCAGGCTAGTAAATCAATATCCAAGGGGCTCTTGGAGATAAGAGCAATGTCTGGTGTATGCAAATGCATGAGCTGCCTGGGGAAAAAATGGTTACTGAACAGATAAACAACTAAGAACATGTCTTTAGGAACATATGGTGGGCAGCCACTTTTGTAGCTGTAACCTGCTAATTCTACTATACATGGACCCTGGGATTTATCCAGATTTCATGTGAGTATAAGTTTATAATTAAACTTGGCCTAGATTTCTTACAAAATAGGACGTTAGTTTAAGCATAGAGTTGCTACATCCCAAATTCCCAACCTTGGTGCAACTCGCGATATGTTATCGAAGTGTTGCACTGTAATATAAGCTGCAAAGTAGTCTTAACATGCAAATTCTGATCTGCCCGAGGCTGGGAGGCCTGCTTTTGTTGAATTCAAATTGGAACTTGAATCTTGCTCGACTGCACAAGTACCTGGAGAAAATTCAACATAAAAACAAAATTCAGACCAGTATACCTTCATGAGTGTATATATCATGACCGTACAAGTACCTGGAGAAAATTCAACATGGAAACAAAATTCAAACCATCTTTGTTTATATCATGCATTTTCTTTTTAATTTTTTTAAAAGGTTAGGTAAAGGCGTTGTTTATTCTTTTTATTATAACTAACAGCGGTAAGGTAAGAGATGAACTGCAGTGGCGTATTCTATAGTATATTATTATTAGCAAGATACATATTAGTCCCAAATATATCAAATGATTTAATGACTACATTGGTAAACCCATACACAATTTATTTTTACCTTACTATGGTTGGGATGATGGTGCAATGGAGGTTGGTGCTGCCACTGCATTGCCACTTTGCTTGTGCCCAGGTCCATTCCCGCTATGACGCTGTGTTGGTAATTGAAGAGAGATTGTCATTGGAGGAAGTCGCATTAACATGCGACGTGAATTGGTTGCATTTAGTTTCATCCAAGCAGGGCATGAACAATGTGCACAAAGATTGGTTCTACTTGGCTGTGAATATGGAGGCATGGAAGGGGATGACATTGGCTGTGAATACGGAGGCATGGAAGTGGATGACATTTGCGTTGGAGATGAGCTAGGAGCAAATGACGGAACGAGGGCTTGCAGACGCGGAGCCAACTTGAGATCCTTGATTCTACCAAAAAACGATGGGTCTAGGCCAAGGTTCATTGAACTTGATTCTGTGATGATTTCAGCTAGCTGTTTCAGCCTCCCCATTTCTTCGTAAACGCCGTCATCTGGGGAGAGGGAAACTTGGACTATAACTGGTGGGGCAATCGTTGAGCCATTCTTATTTGTCAGATCTATGTATATGTCCTGCATGTAGGTAGCATGTTGTCACTTTATGTCAAGATCTTCTAGGAAAGATGTTAATCAGAAGAAGAAGAAAAAACCATATGAGATATAGAAAGGGGGGAGCTCATATGGTACCTCATCCAGTAAATGCCCAAGATCCTCCTTCATTTCCTCAATCAGTCCCCTCAACTGGCGAATGCTCATGTCAAGCGTTACATTGAAAATAGGCTGTGCAACTTGTAGAATGGAATCATCCTGTAGGGGTTCTAATTCTATTGTGATCCCTCCTGGGAACCCCATCATCTGTACGCACAATGGATATCCGAAGACCGATGGTGTCAGCGATAAATTCACCTGCTGAAGTGTAAGCTGGATCAAGTTTTTCCTCAATGCGTGCATGGATCGTGCACTTATGGAGGTGTTTATTGGGTCAGGAAGAACATCAAATTCTACAGCAGTGAAACTCAGGAATAATGCCTGCATAGAGACGGAAACCTGCAGAATTGTCTCGGTCAGTATTCAGTAAATCTTCTCGAGTGGCTTGAATTGGGGTTGGTAGTGGTAGCATACCGTAGTGTTGGGGACTCCAATTTGACGGTTTATCTCTTGTTGTAGCTCGGCGGCATGTGGAGTGAGTTGCGCAAGTGGCTTCAACAAGATGAAACCAGCCTGAATTTCATCTGGAGAAGTGAATGTTTTGTCGTCAAAACATGGGAACTGCTGACTGCTGTAGCAGATTGTTGACTATGGTTGATTACTGAAGGGGGTTCTAGTATTTTACTGTATATTTAGATTCATGGCATAGTTCCTATCGAAGACATGGAGCTTTGGAAGGTACGCATGGCTGGAGATAGCTGATCATGGCTGAAACCTGGTGCTGAAGAAGCCGTCCTTACCGATGAGTGTGCCGGGGGCATCAGGCACGCTGTTCCCCGGTGATCGGAATTGAAGGAGCATGAAGAAGGCCGAGAGGAAGACGACGACACCGAGGACCAACGCGACGACACACTTAGCGCTGAGAGCCGCGCCCACTTGAGCGGTGCATCGACGAACCGCGGCGCCGTTGCTGGTTGACGTCTCAGGGAGGCGTCCAGCCTGCTCAGCATCACCGGCTTTCTTGCCCATGGCGAGCGCATCTGCCACAGGTCTCTCTGGCTCCGAGGCTACCACTCAGTGTAGGTAGAGATCATCAGAGCTGGAGGGGGACTGCTGAGGCTGCGTTGCGTCCGGGATCAACCGGAAGGCTGGCGCTGGTGCTCGCCGTGGCCGCACCGGTGACGTGAACAGGGCAGGTAGTAGCACAATCAAAACTGGAGGGCACTAGTAAAATCATCAGGCCTTGTTTACACCGGCGGGTGGGCATTAGGAACGGTGGATGGGAATTGGGAAGGGGGGCAGCATAGGCCGGCTGTTTTGACTTTTGCTCGTTTCACAACTTCTTCTATCATTTAGTTTGCTTTCATGCCAGAGCTGTTCTTACTGGCATCTAAAAATCATCATCTCTTGTCTTTGCCACATAGTTAATGCAGAAAGAAACGGAAAACTTTAGTTTCGTGCTGCTATGCTAGGTTAGATGAGGCAGCGTTGTACCAAAAAACTTGGTTTGCTAGAACTTTTACCTTTTGAATTTTAGTTTAGCTTATTATGTTCTGCACATTTGGACGCTCTGTTTTGTTGTTTGGTCCGTTGTCCCTTGATAGTGGAACCCTTTTTTGGATCTTATGATTTTTTTTAATGGAAACTCTTTCGATCTTGAGGGGGTTTTGCCATCCCTTTCATGCGTTCACTTTGCTCGCATTCTTATCTTCGCCTGTGGAGTCGGAAAGCAAGGTTAGTTGGAAAAAAGCAAGCAGAATGAAACAAACAAAGATAGAAAATAGAGCAAGATTACCATAAACGTACAGGATGACTTCATGTGAATAATAAGATAATAACAGTATTTAAAATGCTTACTCGTATTTGGCCGGTGCTTACAAAGCCAGCAATCTGATTTCTTTACACGAGTGCTTACCGCATCACCTATTAATACAATTTGTTAAAAGATGCCACCACGCTACTAATTCCGCAGCTTACATTACAATCCGTCTGACTCGTCATAACCGAGAGGCCGAGAGGAGGTAAGGGCAACGTACAATGGTTGATAAGATATCTTAAATCTAGCATGTAATTTAGAGATGTCAAAAAAAAAGTTTAATGGATTATCTTTTAGTCTTATCTTCAATAGCTAGTTGTTCCTAAAAACATGGTGAGACATGTTAACAGATCATCTCTTAAATAAAAAAAAGACAAGCATTTACTTATGATTTCTCTCTCCCCTTCACCCCAGCATTTATCCTACATGACACTCCTAAGATAGAACCATTGTACATATGCCCTAAGTATCGATGATACAAAAGATGGACAAGACCAAAGCTAAGATAGAAAGAACACACCAAGACATGGTATACTTCGGCATGCCTCCACTCTCCAACCAACCATAATACAACAAGGCTAAAGTGGATCATGATTACATTGCGTACAGTACATGCCATGAGTTCTCCACTAGCGTGAAATGTTCGAACC